TCTCACGGATCAGCAACAGCCAATTTGCTTGATCTGCCCTGCCCTCTTTCCCCTCCTGTGCAATTTCATTGATCTTCTCATGAGCACGCTATAAAATCACGCATTTTTAGGATAGTCCGGGGCTTTTATTATACTCAGAAGGCTGGGCAATGGATATCACGTGAGGCCCGGGGACCTGCGGGGACTCCGTGCCTTTTGCTTGTCTTGAGTCTGGCTTAGTGGTCTTGGTTGGAGTTTGTAGGGAGTTAACTGGTCTTGTTGGTTTTTTTCTGGAAGCTAGAGATGAAGGTCACTTTGATGGAAACGATTGAAGGAAAGTATAAATTTAAGTGAAACAGTGGAGCGGACAAAGAATGATTAAGATTGTTAAAACATAAGCAGAATTCTTCAGCAGTGAAAATGGAAACAATTAGTGGGTCACGGTAAACCAGAAGAACAGGCACGCTGGTTAAAGAGTAACTGGATTGAAACATGTTCTTTTGTGCAAGAACAATTGTTCCATTATAACCTCACCACACAATCCCTGACAGCTACTGACCGGTAGAGCAAAAATAGCACAAGAAGACATGATACTGATTCACCGATTAGGTCGCTTGATTAGGGACAAAGGGGGTTGTCTCCCCAATGCCTGCATGGGGCCACAACAGAGGGGGTCGAAAGAGATCAGGTACATTAGACACCTATGGGAAAGATTCAAACGGAGCATGCGCGCACACACAAGCCCCCAGCCAAGGTGGGAGGTCCCCCAGAGCGCACAGACTAGACCCAGCCCCGTGACATCACAGGTGGGCCTAGACTGCGCCAATGGGACCTGCCAATGCCCCCAAGCATGCCTCCCGAGTCCGCGGGGGCGGGAGAGAGTAAAGGCAGCGAGCACAGCCCTGTAAGCCCCTTGGCCCTCTAGGCCCCCTGCCAGTGCCCCTTGTACTCTGCCCCTGCTCAGGTGCATGCTGTAAGGGGGCGGACCCGTGGGTTTTACACGCCCTTTTCCTGTATTCAGTCCACGTGGTTTGCCGCACCATTTGGGAATCCCGTGCGGCTTCCACGTGGCCTGTACGCTTTCCAGAAACCTCCATTCCTGTCCCCTTTCCCGAACCCCTTCTTGTCTCGTGTCCGCAAACATCTCATGTCTCTGTTCAGGGAGACAGTACTTTGTCAGATTGGACCCACTCTGTCTCCTTGAATATTAAAGTGACTAAGACTCTCCCTCACCCCTGCACCTGTCTTCCCAGCTTCCTGGAAGCAGGCAGCCTGACTCACGCTCACTGTCACCGTTGCCACCAGCTAATCCCACCATGTTTTCATCATCTTAAAACAGAAAGTCCATTCCTAATGGAAGGGGCAACCGCTGCCCCTGGTCCCCTCCCCGAGCCTCCGACGGCCACCGTCAGTCAGCTTGCTGGCTCCGACTTTGCGTCCTCTGAGGATCCGGGCTTTTGTGGCTGCCTCCCTGCGCTTCCTACTCTGCTTCCAAGTCCGTCCACGTTGTAGGACTTCACTCGAAATTTTCGAAAGTGTGAACTGGGAGATGGTTTCCAGAGCAAATCAGTTTTCCGTTCAACAATGCATACACATGCTTTCTCAGGTCATTGTTTGTGGGCAACAGACCGATTTCTCCCAAGTCGCCTCCCCCAAATATATGTTAGACTTAGGGCACTGCTTGCAGCTGATAAATGATTGTCAAGTTACCTCCCTGAAGGCAGTCAGTTGCCAGACTACTGTACAGGTAGGCCCTGCTCCCAGCTGTTAAGGACAATGGGCTACTTCTCCCTAAAGGCTTTCAACCATTAGTCTGGTCCCTGTAGGTGGGGTTTACACCCTACTGCTAATGGTTTCTATGGAGATCCAGAGACCAGGTCAAACCCGCTCAGAGACATCCAAAGTAGGCTGCCATCCTGAATCTAGGATCCACCCTTCTTGTCACATGTACACCCCCAATCCCTCCTCTTCCTATTGCCTGTATGTCCCTAGATTGTCCCCTCTCATTGCTGTATAACCTATAGTGCAACCCCTTCCTGTGATGTATGTCTTTACCTGTAATTAGGGGGCTTGCACACCCCTCAAAGGTATATATAGGTCTGGGTTAGCAATAAAGAACTCTCTCGGGCTCCCCCCTTGGCCTCTTGTTGGCTCCCCCTCTCCTCTCCGTCCTCGCTCCCCTGTTCCCTGTCCCCTTGACTTCCTTCCCTCCCCCTCTCTCCACATGGACCACCAAGCAGGGCTGAGGCGAGCATACTACCATGAAATGTGTCTGCCTCCATTATTTTAATCTCTCTTCTATCTCTCATGCTATTTCTTTACTATAATCTTTACTTATTATTGCTGTACAATTGCGCCTACCGGGCCCGTGATGATGTGTTAGGAGCTGGATAACCCTGACAATTGATTATAATCTCCACAGTGTGATCTCACTTACCCCACTTCCTGCCTGTTTCCAGTTTCCCTTCCACCGTCTTTCCTAAGCCTTCCTGCCTCCTGAACTTTGTCCCCCTGGCCAACGCTGCCCTCTGGGCCTCAATGGCTGATTCTTGTAAAGCGTGTGTACCTCTCTCTTGTGAGTGTTTATCTGATAGAGTCGTCTCTTGTTGGGCTGAGTATGAAGCTACCGCAGGGAGGTCTGTGCAGTTCTCTGTCATCAGGGAGCCTCGTCATTTTTCTCCCACGCTAGCCAAGACCTTCTAACGTGCTCGCAGTCAGAGCCGGGCACCACCTAGTGCTTCAGGGCTCAGAGTGCGGGCAGCTGAGATTCTCCTGGCCCATCCTTCCATTGGGCGCATGGTTCCCATGCGAGGATGCTCTTCTTCACCTTTCTTGCCTCCGGATGGTGAAGCATCTTGCTTCTTCTCTAGCTGAAGAGTGGCCCCGTGTGTGAATGCACCACTGTGAGTCACCCCCTCATCAGTGGATGAACCTCTGGCTTCTTTCAACCTTGGGGCATTATAAATAAAGCCTCTGTGAACATTGTGTGGGAGTGTTTGTGTGGAGGTGGGTTATCTCTTCTCTCGGGCTGAGGCTTTGATCTATATTTCTCTTCTGACGCTGAACAGCTTGCTCACCTAATTATTGGCCTTTGGAAACTCTTCTTGGGAGAAATGTCTATTCAGATCCTTTGCCAAGGTTTCAGCTGACTTGTTTGTTTGTTTATTTTAAGAGACAAATGATTTTATTCACCAATATTTGCACACAGAGCTCTAAAAGAGAAATCCCATTTTGAACCAAACTATGTCATGATTATCACACCTAAAACTTTCCGTTTGCATATAGCTGTTTCTACACGAGGCTTTAGAAAACGCAGAAGCGTTTTTTCCAACACTTTACTCGGGTCATTTTCAGATGCATTACAAATGTGAAAAGAATTGTTCAGTGGACACAACACCTCCACCCGGGTCCTCACCTCAATGCTTCTCTCGGCTTGCTGTCCATGTCCTCAGCCCATCTGTGCGCCCCTCCATGTTCTTGTGACGCGGCTGAAGTTGCTGACGTCAGTCCGCATCGCCCAGAACACCTCAGGAAACGGATCACTAACCAGTGTTTACAGGGTTTGCGCTTGTGTTCCTGCTGTGCAATATCACTCGCGTATCAGTGAACTGTCTACGTCTTAAATAGACAGTTGTTGAAGTCTTGGAGGGAGGAGGGTGGGGACAGAAAGCCTTGTTGCCGGGGACAGAAAGCCTTGTTGCCGGGGACATAAATGGGTGCAACCCAGGATATGGAATATTGTCATCACTCTAGAAAGCTCCCTCATAGATGCAAAAGTTTAAACTGAGCCTAGCCATCGGAGTAATAAGTTTTATAGGATTTCATGCAGCATATACTAGAGTTCGTTGACTCCTCCTTCTTATCGTTCATCCCAAAGCCGACTGGCCCATTACACGAGAGCCAAACCTGCCATCTTTCTACGCGGACGGGTTTCTGGCGTGTTTGCCTCCGGCCTTTGTTCCACACGCTGAAAGCATGCATGCGGCAGAAGCACTTTCGTAATCCAAGTGAGTCTTTATGGAGGAAAGTTTCAGGTTTGACCGTCTCAAAAGGTACACGCTATTCTGAAAAGCATGCTGGGCCTCATGAAAGCCACGTGGGTTCGCAGATGGGCGCAAAAAAAGATATGTAGACAGAAGACAGGAACTGGAGTGTGGAACGCCACCCGTTCAGAACTGGGGAATCCCGGAGGCCAAGAGAACTTGCGGCCTGCGCACCCTCACTTGGGAAGCCCTCTGCTTACAGCACGCACCTGAGCAAGGGCAGAGTAACCAAGGGACTGGTGGTGAGGCCAGAGGGTGTGCCAGGCTGCGTGCCTGACTCTTATATTCTCCTGCCCACCCCTGGTTGGGGAGGCGGTTGAGGGCCTTGGTCAATCCTACTGGCTGAGTCTAGGCCCACCTGGCTGGTATCATGTGGCTGGGCCTAGCCTGTGTGCCCAGGTGGACCTCCCACCTGGGCTCAGGGGCTTAGTTTGCACATGCCCAGCTCTGGATTTTCCCATAGGGGTCCAATTAGGGTGCCTGATCTCCCTGCAACCCCTCTGTTATGGCCTCATGCGGGCACTGAGGAGCCAACCCCCTTTGTCCCTAATCCAGCAGCCTAAGAGATGGATGTCTTCCCTGCCTTTCTGGACCCTCCTCTCCTTGACGGAATCCCTCAGAGTCTCCTCAACTTACCCCAAACCTGCTCCCGCTTCTGGGAGTCTGTCTCAAGGTGGTCCCTCCCTCATGAGGGAGGACATAGGTGCGCCCTGAGTACTGGTCCCAGTTCCAATTCACCACTCACCAATCCCCACAGTAAGGGCACTTGCCAGCAAAATGACAGTGATGAAGTAGCAACGAAAATAAGTTGATGGTTGGGCGGCATCAGGAAGGTTGAGAACCTCTGCCCTGAGGTCACTGCCTGGCACGTAACTAGATCCACGATGAAGGGAAGGCAGATGGATGGATGGTACCTGAATGGATGGACCGGCACCGCTCGGGAGGAAGGAGATGGCAGGGCCACAGACACCCACGAGACACCCTGAGACATTTTATTGGGGGCTGGGAGGGGATCCCAGGACACCCTTCACTCTGTGGCCCTGCGGGCGCAGCCCAGGGCTCATTCAGATCTGGACATAGGACAAGGTGACGTCACCCTGGATCTCCAGCGTGTCCACCCTCTCGAAGGCTGTGAAGCGATGGGAGAAGTCGAAGAGGTGCTGCCCATTGGCAAAGACCTTGAAGCGATCCATGCCGCAGCGGATGGACAGCTGCTGGGAGACGCGGACATGAAGCCAGGACCCGGACGGAGGTGTGGGGGCAGGGGCGGGGGTAGTGGGGGCAGGTAGGAAGATCTCACTCACATCAAAGAAATGTCCAGCACGAAACGGGTTGTGGGCCACGTTCCTCTCCTCAGACCCCCAGGAGCCGTTCAAATGGCTATTGCGGACCACCGCGCCCTCCTTCATCCGGGGATTAATGTGTAGAGCCACGTCCCCGGAGGCTCCCACTTTGAAGTTGATGGCAAAACTAAAGGCGGACAGGGAGGTGGGGTCAGACAGAGCTCCCTGGCGCCCCAAGGGAGGAGGAGACTGGGGCCTGGACTCCTGGGTCTGAGGCGGGATGAGGCTGGACATCCCCCACCACGAGCCGGGTCCTGCACCTGTCGGCGGAGACGGGTACAAAGCCCGTGATGATGACGGTTCTCCGGACTCGAAGTCCTCCTTGCAGTCTCCCCACAAATGGCACAGGCTGTTGCAAGAAGACACGTGGTCTCATCCTCTCAGGTCCTCAGGAGCCGGACCAGGGGGGGCTTGGCAGAGGAGTCTCAAGGATCCTGGAAAGTATCCCCAATCTCTGCCCCTCCCTCGCTCTGACCTCCGCCCCATGCTCTAGCCTCTCCTACTTCCTGGCTCACAAGTCCTTCGGGCCCTCTCCCGCCACATGTCTGACTCGCCCCGAGCTCCCCAGGGATCAGGATCCCTCCCTTCCCACCACCACCGAGTCCCCAGCCCTGCGGGGCACGGTACCGGGTTGAAGGCTGGGGGTCCCTCCATGGTCTGTGAAGTGAAGGACAGCTGTCATCCCACGGTCTGCAATGACTAGTGACAGCACACGGACTACGCAGGGGGGGGAGCACACCTGTCCCAGCCAAGCCCTCCTCCCAATTCTCACCCCCCCCACCCCCACCCCACCCGCCCACTCACAGGCAGGCTATTCAGTGGTGGCTGGTCCTGTCCCGGACCCTACACGTGGGGACAGAAGGCAGGAATGATGAGGGGACCCTGGAGTCCTGCAGCTGTCCCCAGACCTCCTCCAGGGGAAACCACCACCCAGCAGCAGGTACTTACTGGGTATGCTGGGATCACCATGGGTGCGTGGGGGTCCTGCAAGAGAAGACGGTGATGGGGTGTGAACCCAAGACTGAAAGGTGCTGAGAATACGTCACGCGACCCGTTTAGTTCCACGCCAAGCAGATGCCATTCTCTGTGCCCTGTCCTATCACTTGTCCTGCCCTCAACAGCCTTTCCCCACGTGGGACCAAGCTGCCCAGTCAAGTGGGCTCGCTCTCTCTGTCCCCTGCTCTCGGTTGCTCTCTGAGTCTCTCTCTCTGGCGTTGCCTCTGCGTCGCCCTCGCCCACAGCTTTGCCCGGTGGTTTTCTTTGACTCCATCTCTCTTTTGCTGTCTCCCATTTTCAGTGAACTTGGTGTGGTCCACTTTAAGGGTCCTTGCCTTTAATCCGTGTGTTCCATGGGAAGGATGTGTTTGCCTCTGAGCCTGGCTCCTCTGAGCTGGAGCTGCGGCTCCGGGCCCTCTGCACAGAGCCTCCTGCTGGGCCAGCATGGCCCTGCTGGAACCGCCCCTGTAGGCACAGCTGCGGATTTATGCATTTCTTTCATCGTGTCCACCCCTCCCCACCCTGAATTTTCTTCGATTGCTTTTGACTCACTAACTTTTCCTCTCCAGGAATCAGTTTAGCCCCCTTTTCGTGGCCCCGGAGCGGTGCATGGTGGGACCTGTCCGATGCCGGGTCTCTGAGCGGTGCAGTGCTTCACCAGGGGCTGGTGTGGATGCTGCGGCGTAGACAACATCGGGGAGCCTTGTTTCGCGAGCCCATCACTCAGAGCCCCAGGAGAACTCCCCCACATCCAGCCTCGGGCCGGTCCGTTGTGGCCCCTGCTCACATGAACTGTGTGGATGGGGGACCACTCTTCCTGTAGGCAGCGGGGTCCAGCACAGACTGCCGCTGCCTGGGACCTGCTCCTGCCGCCGGTCTCGCGGCACTTTGGACAATTGCCCCGGGAGATGCCTGTCGCTCGGCACTGGCTGGAAAGAGCTGGTTTTTGCCTTGACTTTCTATCTTTGAGCCCATCACCTTGAGAACCCTTTACTTACTGCCATCACCTCTTTAGAAACCCCGAGGAAGCCGGGTAAGAAAATGTACAGCCACAAACCCTTATAAAAGAAGGTACTGCCAACGCTTCTTCACCAGGGAGGCAGAGGAGCAGAAGGCACCGGTACGATCTTTGACACGGCTGGGTTGGATCCCTGGTTCTGCCCCTTAGAAGTTCCATGGCCTTGGGCAAGTGACGTCTTGTCACGTCCCCACACGGGGCTGACGACAGTCACAGTCCTTTCCCTTGGGGTCTCTGGTATAGGATGGTTGCCGTGGGAAACCCCCTGTCCAAGGGGGTTCTGGATTCCAAGGGTGGCACCTGATGGCCAGTTGGAGGAGTCGTGTGTGTAAAGCCAACACCCAGGAGGTATGCGTGTCCCGTTGACCCGTGTGCCCTTCCTGATCTCACCGAACCTGCAGGGCAGGTCAGCACCGCTCCTGGAAGTTCTGAGACTCTAACGCTTTACAAGAAGTGGCTGGTGGTTTCAAACTGCTGACCTTGCAGTTAGCAGGCCAGCACGTAACCCCTGTGCTACCAGGACTCCTAGATCTACCAGCACTTTTCTTTCTTCGAAGCTCCGTCACGTGTCTCTAGTGTCCTGAGCAAAATATCGTGGCTTGCTTATTTTATGAGCTATAAAGTGGTTTTTCAAAGAAACGTCAGGTCACCGAGGGTCAGCCTACTGTTGAGTGTCATTGAGAACTTGCCTTTGGGTGACTCACACATTGTGCCTGTCCATTCTCCTACCTGAGGACAACTGCCATCTGAGCCCCGAGGCGTTACCAACAGCACTGCTGTGGATCTTCCACTGTGTGTGTGTGTGTGTGTGTGTGTGTGTGTGTGTTGGTGGTGATGTGCGCATTATCACCCAGCGTGGCATTTCTGTACCATGAGGCATGTGTTTGTCCGGCTTCCCCAGACACGAGCAAGGTCTTTTTCAAAGTGGTTGTGCCCGTTAGCCTTCCCAGCAGCATGGAAGTGTACGAGACGTTTGATTGTCTCATGTGACCGACCGACACTTGGAAACGTATAGCTTTCCCACTGCAGTTCTTCTGTTGGGTCTGTAGTCTTCTCTCGTCATTCTTTTCATTGCCTTTCCCCAATGACTAATGACATTGATTCGTTTCTCCTAAGGTGGCTCTTCCTGTGTTCTTTCCTCCTGCCCATGCCCCACTTTCTGACTCAGCTGACACACCTTTTCTTCTTCAGTAAATCCTGATGACCCAAGGGTAGGTCAGGTGCCTTCTTTGTACCCCCAAACTTCCTGCATAGCCTTCATCCCAGTCCTCACTCCTAGGTCTGTGCATTACCCGCCCCCCCCCATCCTAACCCTGACTACTTCTGTACGTACAGTCCTCCTCCTCCTCCTCCTCCTCGCCCTCCTCCTGACTATTCATAACCAGGGTCACATCTGTCCTCCCCATGCTGTCCCAGCATCAGCTAACAATGGGATTCACAGAGGACATAAGCTCAGGAAATAAAGGAATGCGGTAAGGAATTAAAGAAGATAGGAAGCGAGGTAGGGAGGAGACACCACACACCTGTTGTAGGGCCGGCTGGCCGCCAATGAAGTTGATGGACTGAAGTTGCACGTCTCCATCCACTTCCAGGTGAGTGACCATCTGCAGGGGAATCCGGTGGCCGTACTCATAGAAGGGATTTCCGTTTACCACCACCTGGAAGGCAAAGACGAGAGTCCGCACCCACGACTGTGGGAAGAGAGAGACGGGACTCAAAGAGCAGGGCTCTCACAGTACAACTTGGAGTCAAAAGTCCAGGGGCCATGACAGAGAGGGCTCCAGAGTCAGGTTGCTGAGAGCCCACGGGCGAGAAGTCAAAGCAGGGGTCAAAAGTCAGCTCACAGACTGGAGAACGAGAGAGAAGAGAGGATTGAGTCTCGGAATGGAGATTGATAGCGGACTATGTCTGAGTCCTAGTTCTACGGCGATGCCCAGTCCTAGCTGTGGGGCCTGAGCTGGGTCACTTCCCCTCTCTGAGTCTGTGTTCTCGTCTGTACGAGTGCTCATTCCTCCCTGAGATTACAGAGGAGCACAGCAAAAACACCGTCGAAATCCAGCGAGAGCCTGGGCCCTGTGACCATAGCTCAGCATACTTGAGATCAACCTTCATGATTTCCATTGCTAGTGCTAACCAGAGGTGGAGGGGGAGTGAGGGGGGACCCTGCTCCGAAGGCTGAAAGTTCTACATCAACGGAGCCTCTCAGTAGCTCTCTGTGGGCGCGTTCCCGTTGTCTAATACAATGGAGACTCCAAACACTGAGAGGGCCCACTCACGTGCAGCCCAGACGTGACCCTTGATCCGTCCGACATCAAACCCTGGGGCTAGCCTTGCATGATGAGATAAGAAATCTGGCGCCCAACTACGGTAAAGTCGAGGGAGATGCTCCGACCCAGTCATCCCCCAGCCCTAGGAGATTTTCCTCTGGGAGCAGGGTGGGAGCAGTCAAGAGGATGCCCCCTGTAGCTGTAGTGATGAGGCAGGGTGGGGTGGGAGGACTGAGAGAGGACGGCCATCAGAGTCATCAGGAGCCACGGACCATGTGTGCACAGACCAGCACGGAGATTTCACACACAAACTGATGAGGGAGGGGGGAGGAGGAGGAGGGAGGGGGTAGTGCTCCCCCCCCGCACCTTGTAGTGCTCAGCCATGACCATGAACACCAGCTCAAAGGGAGCGCCCTTGCTGAAGGGCATGTTTCTTTTCTTCTCCTCGCTGCCCCACTGGTCGCCCTGCTTGGTGTTGAAGACCACCTTGTCCCAGCCGTCGAAGCGGGGGTTGAAGTGTAAGGCGATGTCCTGTCCAGAGTCCCCCACCATGAAGTTCACGAAAAACCTGGCGGCGAGACCCGGGGGGGACTCATCTCTGCTTCCCAGGAGCCCTCACCCTGCTCCGAGGGTCCCGTGCACTGACTCGAGGAGGGGTGGAGTTTGAGGTCCTTGTTGCCATCTCTTAGCGTCCTGCTTCCTTCTAGACGCCCCCTCCCCCTGCCCACCCCCACCACCTCCCTCCAACTTCTCCCAAGGCAAATACTCCACCCAGCATTGCCCCGAGCCCAGGCACTGTCCCCAAACTCTTGGCATCTGTCAGTTCCTTTCAGGTCTCCCAGCTCCCTCCCCAGTTCCTCCCCACCCAGCCCCATCACCTCCTAAAAGCAGCCTGCTCAGAGCCTTCCTGCGCCTTGAGGCGCCACCTGATCTGCACCCCAACTTCCCCATCCTCATCTTCCACCACCTGGTCCCTCATTCGCTGTTCCCTCTGGACCTCCCTCAGAACCAGCCACCCCTAGGCTACTCCAACAGCCACGCTGCTCCCTCTACCTGGACTACTTTTATCTCCGGACCCCCTCAAGCCTCACCTATGTCAGGACTGTGCTGAAATGTCCCTTCCGGAACACCCCACCTAACGACACCTTATCCCCTCCCCCCCCATGGGCATACTTTCCCCATCTGCCATCCCTCCTTCAAATTTCCCATCTGCCATCTAACCCCTCTTGTGTATTGGCCTTTTGTTACCCCTACTGGCTTGCACAGTCTACAGCTGTGGTGGTCTTGGTCTGTCCTGTGTATAATTCTACTCCAGGATCTCTGCTCCCCCTGCACCGCTCCCCCGGCCCACCCCTGCCTGCCTAGGTACAGGATTGGCCAGCCATTGGACCCCCGATACACCTGGGGTCGCCATGTGTGGGCATGGCCCAAGGCACCCGCCATCTCACACATGCCGCCCCCACAGCCCGAGAGGGAGGGGGCTTTCCCGGTCACACGGCAGAGCCGGCTCTGAGTGCAAATGTCCTGGCGCAGCACCCAGGAGGGGAACCCATGGGGTCACACTGTGGTCCTCGGTTCCAGTCCCACCTCCCAGCTCTTGGCTGGCTCTCAGGTGAGCTGGAAGCTTCCTCCGGAGCCTTCCTGGGCTCCCGGGTCCCTCTCCTGATCTGACCTCCCAGTCCTAGGTCCCCAGCTCCAGCCTGGTCTTTGGCCATCGGTTGAGGATCAGAGGCACGTTCCATCAATTGGCACAGTCCCTCCCCCCACTAGGGTGGAGAAGACCTTGGCCCCCGGGGTCCAGAAACTATCCCCATCAGAGCCCAACCGGGCAGGTCTTACCTCTTCATGTGCTCGTTAGCCACTCCTTGGATGTAAATGGACATCCCCCCGCAGAGGCCCCCCGGGATGGGCTGGAGGTAGGGCAGAGTCTGTGGAAGGGGGACAGATGAGGGACTTGGGGGCCATCTGCTCAGGGCAGGCCTTCCCCCTCAGAGGGAAGTGAAAACAAAGGGGGTGGGCTCGTCGGAGAAGAGGCCAGGGGTCGGAGGTGGACATGAGTGGCCTGAGGGTCGGTGGGGAGTGGATCAGGCCGTCGGGGGTAGATCAGGGGTGGGCAGGAGATCTCGAGGGTCCCCAGACTCCGGGGTCAGGGTCTGGGCTGACAGCTCACCGGGTTGAAGGTGGGCTGGTAGCCAGGTGCAGGGACAAAGGCCATCTTGAGAGACGAGGCTGATGGTGTGTCTTGTAAGAAGAGCGGGAGAAATGGGGACCGGTGACATGAGGCAGGTGGCTCTTATAGCCGGGGACCAGGGAGTGGCTGACAGGGCAAGGGCAAGGTCTAAGGAGATCTCAGCCCCCCTCTTCTCCCAGGGCAACGCAAGCTGCCTTCTCTTATCAGCCTATCCGGTGGATATCATTAGCCAGAGCCTAAACCACCTGGGTCGGAGCTCAGCTCAGAGTCCCCCAAACCCCCTCCCTGACCCTTCTGCATAGAGGAAGTGAGCCTGAACTTTGACCCTGGTGTCTTATCAGAGCCTCATAAAGCCCTGCCCAGGCCTTTGTTGGCAGAGGAAGGGTGGCACCCGGAAGGCTGGGCAGGGCTGCAGACCAGGTGAAAGTGGAGAAGGCGGGACCGGGTGGCCTGGAGGTGTCCGGCACAGTGAAGGGGACCCCATGGATGCCCCACGTGCCTCTGCTGTGTCCATGACACTGTGTGTCGAGGAGCTTCAAGGGAGCCCGGGCGGTGTGTGGGTTACCCATCAGGCTGCCAACCACCAAGGCCCAGTTTGGACTCACCAGCTGCTCGGGGGGAGATGAAGCCTGGTGGTCCCAGCAAGATCGACAGCCTCCAAACCCAAGGCAGCGCTGTCGGCTGGCCCTAGAGGATCGCCATCTCAACAGTCGTGGGCTTGGAGATAAGGCCTTAGAGGCTCTGGGTTCAAATCCTGCCTGGCTGGAGGATCTTCAGGTTGTGTCTTAACCTTAACTTGCCTGTTTGCAAAGCGACTGTCAAGTGGGGATAATACCAGTATGAGCCTTCAAGGGTCCCTGTAAAGACCAGGTGGTAGGTACCTAGTTTCAAGTCAACTGGAAGATATATAAAAGTGTAGGGGTGGAGTCTAGCCTGTCAATCAGGTCACAGCCTGATGGTGCCTCCTTGTGGGAGGGGCTTCCTCATAAGGAGGGCCCTCACCCTCGGAACCCCCCATCTCCACGCTCACCCTCCTCTTCACCTTCCTGCTGGCGGACCTGGCTGCTGCCAGAGCCCTGGAGATGCATCCACTGCCACTGGATCCACAGGTCTTTGCACCACCAGGCCGGTGATGTTCCTGCGTTCTGCGTCATTGCGTGTGGTTGCGTGAGTCTGAAGAGGGACTCAGGGACTTGAGTTGGACTGGGCTGGGATGCTTTCCTGATCTACAATTACTTCTTGATATAAGGCTCTTTCTTACACATCTCTGAGTGTCTCCGGATTCGTTTCTCTAGTCAGCCTGGCCTAACACAGAGCAGTAAGCTAAAAAAGTACTCAGAGCAGGGCAGGGCAGGAGAGAGGACATGGAACTCAGGGCTGTGCCCTTGTCTTCAAGGTATCCCTGGGAGGCAGGGTTCTCAGCCATCAACCAAAAGCCTGGTGTCCCCACCGGCCCAGAGGGGTCTTGGGGGAGCAGACTCTGGCTTCTGTCAAGTCACAGCCAGGGAAATGCTTTGAGGGAGCCCACCTCTGCACACGTGGGGTGGCCACAGTCAGCGTTGGCCTGTCCTCAGCTTGGGGCTCCTGTCCACATGTCAGCACACAAACTGGGCAGGTTGGCTGCATGGGTGGTGCAGGAAGCCTGGGGCCCCGTGAGATGAGGCAACGGGCCCACGACTGGGCAGCCAGGAGCCACGCCTACCATCAAACCCCAAGGAGATTCCCTGCCGCCCCAGATCCTGCCCTGCTGTACAAAGAGAGGACGCCGGCGTGGCGGATGCCACCTCCATCCCGGACCGGCAGGGGACCCTCTGCAGCCTCCCAGTCCCACTTGCTCAGAGACCCTCACCTGCCCACCCGAGGTCCTGATGGGAATCACCTGCTGGGCACCCATTCCACCGGTCAGATGGCTGTCCCCCAGCCTTCTGCAGAAGTATAACCATTAGAGCCCCCCTGGGAGCATCTCACTCACTTCTCTGTGCCCAAGAAGGCCACCGGGTTCTTGAAATGCTTTTATTGTTCACAGGGCCACGGTAAGGGCAGGAGAACAAACCCAGGTTCACTGGGAAGCTCTAGACTGGAAGACTGGGTGGGAAGGTGCCCAGATGGGCAGGGCTGGGTCCCGGCCAGCCGGCTGCCGGTGGTCTCTCAGAGATTGGCGAAGGGGACGCTCTTTAGCTCCTTCTTCTCCATGGTGGCCTGGACAGACTTGATGATGTCCTCCGTCTGCAGCATGCTCATGTTCCAGGAGCTCTGAGCAGTGGGGCGGGGCAGATCAGAGGGGGGCCAATGGCAAGTGGGAGGGTGCCAGCCGCCCACCAATCAGAGGGGCAAGTTGGGAGGAGCCACTCACGATGAAATTGAGGCTCTCGGGCACCGAGTGGCTCTGAGAGTAGACCAGGTTGACCTTGGTGCCCTGCACGGCCACCGGGCTCTTGCTGGCGATCTCTGCCGCGAGGGAAAAGGCGGCCTCCATCAGGGCCTCCTTGTTTGGGAACACCCGGCTGTGGAGGCAAGCAAGGTGGGGACCAGGGGCCTGGGAGGGGGTTTCTACCCTCTGGGGCCCTCCCGCTGGTCCCCCAGACCACTGAGGAAGTAGCCACACAGAAGGTGAAGACCCGCATCAAAACGGGCCATCACAGAAGGGTCCTCATATCAAAAGCAACCCCCTGTCATCGAGTCTGTGTGGGCTCTCGGCGACCCTACAGGGCACAGTCTGACTGCCCCTGGGGATTCTCGAGATTGGAGCCCATCATGGGAACAGAAAGACTCATTTTTTCTCCCTCGGAGCAGCTAGTGGTTTTGAACTGCCAACCGTGCGGATTGCGGTCCTAGACTCCCAAGATAAAGGAAGGGCCGCTCAGAGAAAGCCTGGGGGCAACTCCAAGGGCCCCGCCTCCGTGCCCACACCACCGCCCATGTGCCCTGCTGGCCTTGACCCTACCTGACCAGCCCGCTGCTCAGGGACTCGTCAGCCAGCATCTTGCGGGCAGTGAAGGCCAGCTCGTTGACCAAGCTGCAAGAGGGCCACAAGTGTCAAAAGATGGTGGTCTCTGGGGTCTGGGAAGCCCCCGTGGTGCCCTCCTCGCTCACCTCTGGCTCCCAATGACTCGGGGCAGTCTCTGCAGTGTCCCCACATCAGCTGCTATACCAATGTCCACCTCCTGGAGCGGGGGAGCCATTTCTGTTTTCATTGCTCAAGTCCTCTGTACCCCACCCCAGCCCAGGAAGGGGGTGGGGAAGTCCCCTAACCCCCATTCCATTTCTATCGACACACCTGGCTCAGCCGGGCCCTGAAGTTTGGCACAGAGAGCACCCTCCACGCCCCTCTGCCCTTTGGATTCTTGGGGGTCAGCCACGCCTAGATGCCCACCGGTAGCCCTCCAGGTCTGACCCCATCCGCCAACCCCCTCCAACCCCACTCCCTGTGGGACTGCCTCCTGAGTCTAACTTCCGACAGCTCATCGCTGCTAACTTCCCAGAGGGCCCCGGCTCCTCCAGGCCGTCCTGCCCGGCCCACTGCCCAGACTTAAGTGGCAGTAGCAAGGGGAAGGAAGGCGGCTCACCTTCACCTGGAAGAAGGCATCCTGGGCGCAGTAGCGGATGTCACAGGCGGTGATGAGGTCCATGCCTGGGAGGGAAAGGCCAGGCACACTCAACAACCACAGGGCCAGCCCTTCCTCTGGCTGCATCGTGGGGACCCACCTGAGGCTGGGGGTCCTGGGCCGAGCAGCCAGCGGGAGCACCGGGGTGAGGGTGGGGGCAGGGGCAGCACACTCACCTCCGCCGATGCAGCCCCCATGGACGGCTGCAATCACGGGCTTGGGGCACTGGGAGGAAATGGAGCGGGGGTCAGGGCCGGCCAGGAGACGTGGGCAGCGGGGTCTCCCTCCCAGCTCCTCACCTTCTCGATGACACTGAATGTCTCCTGGTATCTGGAGATGAGGTCACGGAGGTGCCAGCTGATGCGGGCTACGTCCTCCCCGTGTGGCTGCATGATGTCAGAAGCCATGTCCATGAGGTCGATACCTGGTGGGGCAGGTGTGAAGGACAGTCCGGCCGCCGCTCAGGCCCCATTCATCGCCCCAACTAGGGCTCGGAACCCAGGCTCGGCCGGGCAGGTACCCCAAACCACTGCAAGGCGGCCCTTGGTGTCCCTTATCCTCAGGGAAGGACAGAGACACACAGGAATGGTTAGTGGGGACAGTCAGTCCAATGACTAAATGACCACTTGACCACCAGCCTCGACGCAGCGTGACCCTGAGACCAGAAGAGCTAGCTGGTGCCCGGTGCCCATCACCAACCGTTCAGAAAGGCGCCTGGAAGGAGTGGAGGGAAACTCACAAAGGACCAAGGCCGGCTCACTGGCTGGATGGGGGGGACTGGTGGAACCCCCTTGGGCTTGGGCTGATAGTCCCTAGTGCCCCTGCGGGTCTGGAAATGAACTCACCACCACGGCTCAATGCCGGAGCCACACAACAGACAGGCCTGTCAGGGGAACAACAGCACTAACCTGAGTCGACCACGTGACATCACTGGGGTGGCCGAACCCACGGCCAAGTTCACAAGGCAGGACGGGGCAGGAGAGGAGACAGCACGGAAACAACATGCATGCACACAGGCACATACACACGTGCGCACACACACACTTGCACAACACAACACAAAGGATGCACAGACCCTTGCCTAGAAACCCGACCTGACCCCCTCCCCCCCAAGCAGCACCCAATTCACAATGACAAGGTTACAAAGAAAAGGACCTGTTGCGAAACAATGGCTTTTGCTACTTTTGTTTCTTGAGGTTTCTGTAGCGCCCCCCCCCCACCAAAAAAGAGAGCAACCACCTGTGCAGATCTTTATGAAGGGACTGGATGTGGGGCATCACATCAAAATAAAAGCCAGCATGGAACGGAGGCCAGTGGATCTCTGGAGACAGGGCCTGGCAGGGGAGGATGTGGGGCACCAGGATGATCAGAAAGGGTTCTGAAGTGTGGGATTATAAAGAGACTTTTCCCCAGCTTTGTCTCCACCAAAGACATGCCAAACATTGGGGGCTTTTGGCCAACATATGGTGGGAGGTCAGATGCTTAGGGACATCCTCCCTGAAGGCAGTCAGTTGCCAGACTATGGTAGGCACCCCCCACCTTCCTGCTGTTAAGAACAATGGGCTACTTCTCCCTGAAGGTTTGTGACCATTAGCTTGGTTCCTGTAGGTGGGGTTCACACCCTACTGATAATTGCTTCTATGGAAATCCAGAGAACAGGTCAAACCTGCTCAGTTACATCCAAAGTTAGGTTGCCATCCTGAATCTAGGATCCACCCTTCTTGTCACATGTACACCCCTAATCCCTCCTCTTCCTATTGCGTGTATGTCCCTAGACATACACCCTTTCATTGCTGTATAACCTATAGTGCAACCCCTTCCTGTGAGGGAGGTATGTCTTTACCTGTAATCAGTGTGCTTGCACTCCCACAAAGGTATATAGGCCTGGGTCAGCAATAAAGAGCTCCCGCACACGCGCTCTCTCTGCCTCCCTCCTCTCCTCTCCCTTCCTTGCTTGTGGGGAGAAGTCAGACACTTGCTGCCAGACTGCTGTCTCATCCCACAGCAGGGCTGGGCCTGCTCCCTGCAGCTGTGGACAATGGCCTACTTCTCTCTGAAGCTTTGGGACCATTAGCTTGGTTCCTCTAGGTGGGGTTTGCACCCTACTGATAATGTTCCTATGGAGACCCAGAGACCAACCCCTAGACCTCCCTCTCAATGCCGTGTAACCTATAGTGCAGCCCCTTCCTGTGACGTATGTCTTTACCTGTAATTAGTGGGCTGGATTGCCCCCAAAAGGTATGTAGGTGTGAGCCAGCAGAACTTCTCACTCTGACCCTGAGCTCCTTGCTGCTCACTTCCTGGTCACTCCCCTCTCCCTTGTTCCCTTCCCCTCCTTCCCTTCCCCCTCTCTCCACGTGGACCACCAAGCTGGGCTGAGGTGAGCAATGTTGCTATGTATCATGTATCATGCCTGACTGTATTATTGTATTATCTCTCATGCTCTCGATGACTTTAATATAATGCTTATATATCTCAACCGTACAATTGTGCATTACTGAACCCAGAAGTAGTATTACTGAACTCGTAGGAGTAATCAGCGGGTGGGGGCTGGTTCCCTCTCCCTCAGCGTAATTTATTTTTTTATTTAATACTACACTTGCTCCCGTTTCCTTTCCCCTTGTCCTCCTTCCCCTCCCCCTCTCTTCCTGTGAACCACCAAGCAGGGCTGAGGTGAGCATGCTACCATGAAATGTGTCTGACTCCATTATTTTAATCTCTCTTCTATCTCTCATGTTCTCTAGCACTTGACTATAATCTTTATACATCTCAACCGTACAATTGTGCCTATGGGACCCACCCGTGATTAGTGGTGGGGGGCTGGCACACTGAAGGTCACTGGGAGGGGCTGTTGTAACCAAGTACATGCCGAGAAGGGTGCACTTTCAACAGCTGACCCCGTCAGCTCCTTTGACCCTCACCAGCCCCCAACTTGGAGGTCCCGTTATCGACTCCATTTCACAGAAGCACGCGGCTTTCCAGTTGCAGACGAGATTCTCAACCGAGCCGGGACCCATGAGGCTGGCTCCAGAGCCGGGGCTGACGGCATGAATGGTGGGTCAGGGGTGTGCGAGATGGCGGTGGGAACTGGAAGGAGGGAGCCATTTTTGTCCCTCTAACTTCAGAACCGGTCCCCAGTCCGGCCTTTCCTCTGCCAGTCATTCTGTGCACACACCCCACCCCCCAGTCGCGGCTAGCCTCATGTCTCCAGGTGTCCCTGCTTCCCCACCCACACACTCCCGCCCCCAGAGACCCTGCCATCAAGTCAATACCAACTCATAGTTCCCCTGTAGGACAGGGTAGAACTGCTCCTGTGAGCTTCCATAAACCTCCCGTAACTTGACGGGGCGGAAAAGGCCCATGTTTTTCCCACGTGGAGGGGGCTGGTGGCTTCAAACTGCTGACTTGGGGGCTGGCAGCCCACCTCTACATCACCAGGGCTCCCTGATCACTTAGTTAGTGGTCAAGGTCAAGTCTGTTCTGCGCAGTGCAGCCTCACGGAGAACAGAGCAGGATGCCGCCCGGTCCTGCTGCACGTCCACGCCTCGGCCTGCTCCAGTCCGCTGCCTGGCTGCCTTTGGAATGTCCCTTTGCTGGCTTGCTCACCCCCAGTTCTTCTCGGTCAAGGTTCTGCTGTGATCTGTAGGGTGTTACCGGCTCGGTTTTGGAACGTGTTCCTGGAAGCTCTGTTGAAACCTATCTACTGAGGGTGACCTAGCTGGCTGGTAGGTGAGACGCCAGCTTCTAGCACCACAGCAGGGCACCAGCTAACACAGCACCACCCTACCCTCACCCCCAGGAAGGGGTGGGCAACCCACGCACTTGAGATAACAAGCTAAGTCCTCATCACCATGGCACCAGCTCCTATCCACTCCGGGCACGCTGCCCAGGGCCCTGTGCCCACTCCTCCTTCTGCCGACAGCAGCCCTTCCCCCTGCAGGAGTCACAAGACTGAGCCTGTGGCTGCATTCAGGCCACAGGTCACCACCTGACAGCCTTGGCCAGAGAGCAGCCAGCTGCTATCTCCTCCACCCCCACCCACACTGCGCCCCTGCCTACCCTGGGGCTCTGGGTTCCCCTGGCTTAGGGCCAGCCTCCTCTTCTAGGATGTGGGCTCAGTGAGGACCGGTGTCTTCCCACCTCCTGGGTCTCCAGCCACTGAGATGACCACCGCTGCCTCATCAGGCAGGGGGGACAGAGGACAAAATAAATCAGAAAATAGCTTTTGTTGGGGGGTGCTAAGTGGCAGAGTGGTGATGCATGGCTGGGTCACTAACCCCGGGGTCAGCGGTGCAGATCCGCCAGCCACTCAGTGGGAGGAAGAGGAGCCTTTCTGCTCCAGTGGAAAGTAATCATTTTGGGAACCCCCAGGAGCAGTTGCGAGCCTACCCTATAGGGTCACGATGAGTCGGCATTGAGCATTCAGGAGCGGTATGAAGTGATAAAGGAGGGGTGTCAATGTCGATCGAGGCCTGCTAGTCGATCGCAAATGCAGTGTGGTGAGGTAGTTATTGTGCCAACCTGGCCGGTAAACACAGGTGGGGTTCACTGAAGGGCGGACGGATAAATGGCTCAGTCAGCCTCCTCTTTCTAGTTCTTGGGTCTCTTGCTTTCTGATGGTTGGACCAGGGTGCAGCTGCCTTAGCCAGTTCCCTGCTTCAGCTGGCAAGGCTCACTTCCTGTAAGACATCCCTGAGGAGAACCCGCATGGACCTACCCTGATGCAGCCCTGGGTGCTGGAGCAGCATGTGGAGACCCCTGCCAGCGCTGAGATGCTTACACATTCACTGACTGGGCTTTCCTCCTGTAGTCGGTGTCATTGTGTGTGTTTTGTGAGATGGAGGAGGACTTTGTGGATTGGTGTTGGACATATGGGTTAATGTTGGACTTGTGGGCTTGGGCAGCACTGGGTTGGGATGTTTTCTTGATGTGCACTTAACCTTTATCCAAAACTCTCTCTTATACGTGAGTTTCTGTGGATTTGTTTCTCTAAAGTACCCAGACTAATACATCTGGGTAGATCCCATGGCACTAAAAAAGTAGACTTAAGCCTATCATCAATCCCGTCACTTAAGTGATACACAGCACAGCCAATCAGATGCAATCTTAAGGGTCAAATGCATGAGCAAACAACTGTGTGCTAAATGCTGCAAAACTGACAAGCTAAGTTACTGCCAATTTTTAGACCTTGGTTTTTGTCTCTGAAATGTAAGAAAGGGTATTAAAATGAGTAGGGGAGCTGGACCAAGTAAGAAGACAAAAACGTATCACTTTCATACAGAATGGAAGATTTTGACACTACAAGCCGACATTCAGCGGAAGACCAGGGCGCATGGACAGTTCTGGAACTTAATAGCGGAGGGAAAGTACCCAAACATGAGAAAATGTGTTACCTCCTTGACCGCATGCTTCGGCTCTACTTGTTTATGTGAGTCAGCCTTTTCCCATATAAAGATCATTAAGTCCAAGCACCGTTCCACCATGACTGATGGTCATTTGGAATGTGCTTGAGGCTGGCTGTCAGCAGCTACTGTTCGGACTATGCATCCCTGGCTCAGTCCATTCAGTGCAAGTCATCACAGTAAACTCAGGTAATGACAGAAAATGTACAGAGCTAATTGTGTTGTGCTGTGCAATATGGACTGTTGTATATGTACATGTAAAGAATTGTACATTGTACATGTAAAGAATTCTCAACGCATTTATGAATGTAATAATAAAAATAAATGTTTTGCATTTTTGTAGTTGGTAGATCACTTTGACTTGATCATTTAACAAGTAGCTTGCATGCTAGAAGTGTGAGCACCCTTGTGCTAAAGAGACTCACCCCTGTAGCTCAATAGCTGACGGGAAGATAAAGGGCGCATCCCTGAGAATCACCTACCACATGAGATCAGAGAGTCAGGACAGGAGGAAGGAAACAGGAAATGCATGAGGGGGTGGCAGTGGGGGAAGGAGTGGAAGCTGAATATGCTTCTGAGTTGCCGGATGGAACACCGATGGTCCACTTGGGAAACCTTCACCTGCCACCCCAACCCCAACCTCACTGCCACAGAGTCCACGCCAACCCACAGAGTGGCCCTATGGGACAGGGTGGGACCGCCCTTGTGGGTTTCTGAGACTGTCACTCTTTATGGGAATAGAAGCCTTGTCTTTCTCCCCGGGAGCAACTGGTGGTTTGGAACCACTGACTGTGGAGGGCAGCCCAACCTGTAACCACTACAAGACCAGGGCTCCCCAATTCACGATAAAAAGTTAAAAAAAAAAAAAGTACCAGGAGGAAGGACAAGTAGCATGCATGTACGTGCGTCTGTGCGTGTGCATGTACATGCAGAGATGACACTGCAGCTTGAAATAAGGTGGTCAGGACCCTCTCACTGAGCAGGTGACCGCTGAGTCAGGGCCTGAAAGTGGTTGTATGGGGGGAACTTGGGCTAAGAGAGCTCCACATATTCAGCACAGTAGGTGCAAAGGCCCTGGGGTAGGACCGTGTCTGGAGACACTTGGCAAGGCCAGAGCAGGGAAGCAAGGGGAGTAGCAAGGAGAGTCAAGGGCAGAGAGGGGACAACGGCCGGTCAGGTGGGGCTGTGAGCCAGGAGAAGCAGCCACAGGAGGCCCTGAGGGGTGTAGGCCTTCACAGCCCCCCTCCCCCAGGTGGAGCATCCCCTGACCCATCCCGTCAACAACTCGCCCAGTGGGCGGCCTCCTTTCCTTGGTGAGACCGGTGACAGTGTGGGAGGGTAAGGCCCTTGGCGGGGCAATGGGTCAGCAGTGGAACTGCTAACGATCCCCTCAGCGGCTCCCAGGAGAGGGGACAGTCTCGGAGATGCACAGGAATAGTGTTCTTTTGGGAGGAGTATTGGGGGCCCTGGGGGTGCCGTGAGTCCAGTGGTGGGCTCACAGGCCCCATCTGGCCTCGGGAATGCTGTGGAACAGTGCCGCTCTCTCCGGCAGGGTCACTGTGAGTCGCCGTCAACTCCTCGGAGGAAGTGATGTTGGGAAGGTTACGCGTGCTTGTTAGTACACAGCGGGCTGCCCCGGCTGACTCCCAGGCAAGTTCGTTTTCTGAGCTGGAGCTTCTTTCTCTGGAAAAAGAGGATCCAATCCTCCCAAGAGCTGGCCAAGCCACTGGAGATCCCCTTGCAGAGGAGTCTCGGGGAGATGAGCCAGTCAGGGTGTGATGAGAAATTGATGAGAAATACAACTTTCCTCTAGTTCCTAAATGTTTCCTCCCTGCTCCCACTACCATGACTTGAATTCTACCTTGCAGGTCTGGCTAGACCAGAGGAGGTACACTGGTACAGATAGGAACTGAAAATCCAGGGAATCCAGGGCGGGGTGAGCCCTACAGGACCGTGATGTGAGTGGCGAAACAGGGAGGGTAGAGGGAGAGTGGGTAGGAAAGAGGGAACCGATTACAAGGAACTATATGTGACCTCCTCCCTGGGGGACAGACAACTGAAAAGTGGGTGAAGGGAGACGTCAGACAGGGCAAGATATGACAAAATACCAACTTATAAACTATCAAGGGCTCATGAGGGAGGGGGGAGCGGGGAGGGAGGGGAAAAATGAGGACCTAATGCCGGGGGTTTAAGTGGAGAGAAAATGTTTTGAGAATGAAGTACAAATGCGCTTTACACAATTGATGTGTGTATGGATTGTGATAACAGTTCTATGAGCCCCTAATAAAATGTTTAAAAAAAGAGCTGGCCAAGCAGGGCGTCGAGGAGATGGCACTCCGCCTGCTGGCCCGGTACTCAGTCCCCTGGCGTCCCTGGGCCCTCAGTGTCTCAACAGGTGCTGCTGATGGACCTCCTCCTAGAGCAAGCCCAGCTGGGCACCCTGCAACACTTTCATTCACCAGCTTTTCTGGTTTAGCCACCTTGTCTGGGCCTATAAAAGCTTGCTCCCAGAGGCTGGCAGTTCGAGTCCAGCCAGAAGCACCTTGGAAGATGGGCTTGGGAAAGAGCACCGCTGTGGCAAGCCCCATGGGGCATGGGGCAGTTCAGAAGAAAGGTCGCATCCTGGAAGCCGTGCCACAGCCCTGCCTGCTCGGACTTGAAGGTGCTGCTTTTTTTAACTTGGGGAACACTGCATGGGCATCAAGAAGTTGCTAGGTAGGATGCCGTTATGACAGTAAAACCCACGAGGGTTGGAACCCGAGGGAGGGCTTTGTTCTCCCAGGTGTCCCAAGATCTCCTCCTTGGATGGGGCACAGCCTCCTCACTCTGCTGTCGGCTCAACTGCCAAAGCTCCCCCGTCCCTCTCCGACATGTTTCCGCCTTACACAAGCCCTGGCTTTCCTAGGTTCCCTGGCAGACACAGACCCGAAGTGGATGAAGTGCCTTGTCCCCGGTCATGATCCCTGACTGGAAACCCAGGCTTCAGAGCCCTGGGACCCTGTCACATTCGGTATGGCTGCCTTCTGTACTGGAATGCTTTCATGAAAGCAGACCTTTGGTAAGAAGGGACACAAGTAGCCACAAGAAGCTACTTCAGCAGCATGGCCCTGGTTCCGGGAGCAGGAGACACCCGAGTGGGGGCTGATGGGAAAGGAGGCCTCGGTACCTGACGTGAACATCTTTCCTGCGCCAGAGATCACCACGGCACGGCAGCTGCTGTCTCTGGCGATCTTGTTGAAGCACTCCACCATCTCTCTGTGGGGAAGTAAGGAGAAGAGGGTCCTGTGAGGGGTCGGGGTCCTCTACCCAAATGCCCGTGGACCCACGGCACTCACCCAGCCCTACCCAGTCCCTCAGCCACCGCCTCCAGGCAGGCCGCCGGGGTTGGCACATCAGACCTCCAGAAAGCCCTGTTCATGGCGTTCCTCTTCTCGGGTCGGTTGAGCTGCACATGCAGGATGTGTCCCGGGACCGATGTCACCTGCAGAGACTCATAGCTGTAGTCTGGGCCCTCTGGGGGCTCTGCCTTGGCTGGCTTCTCCGTGGATGCAGAGGAACTCAGGGGTTGGGGGTCAACTCCCAGATATGGCTGGTGGGGAGCCACAAGTCCTGCCCCAAAAAACGAGAGAGCCTTTAATGACCCGACCCTTCGATGGCTCTCCCGTGACCCAAGGTGGGGGCGGGGGGGGGTGTCGCAGGTCCCCCAGAGGCTTGTTAACAAGGAGTTAGAATTGACTTGTTGGGAGCAAGCTTGGCGCTGACCCTGAAGATTAGGGCGCTTCATGGGGGTCTCGGTTTAAGAACCACCTCGCGCCCTTGAGCCTGGGACCACGCGCAGCTGCGAAGCGACCTCGCACGAGAAGGCAAGCCCACGGAAGTGGCGCGGCCTTCAGCACGGACACGCAAGCCGCCCCGCCGAGTCCGCGAACTCGGCGAGGCCACCTTCGCCCCGCGGGTGCGGGGAACACGCCACCTCCAGGGAGGGACTCACTTCGCACCAACAGGGCCCGGAGCCCGCGGGAAACTTCTGCCACGGCGGCCGCCATAGTGAGTGGGCGCGTCTCGAGTCTCGGGAGGACTGAGCGCGTCTCGCTCGTGAGCGAGGGGGCGGGGCGACGCCGAGGGGGCGGGGCCGGGAAGACGCCACGTTGAGTGAGGGCAAGGAAGCCGGGCCCGCCCACCGAGGACGCCGGCCTTTGCGCCGCCTCAACTAAGGGCAACCGGAAGTCGCGTCCTTCCTTCCGCCGCCGGGGGCGCTGCGGGAAAGGGCCACAGACAGACGCTGGACGTGAGTTACGAAGAGCCTTGGGAACGAGCCCTTTTGCCTAGAAAGAGCACGTCGAGGGATACGTCACACTCCGGTCGCATCACATGGCTGCATTAGGCTGGTGACAGTGGCGTTTGAGAACGGGGGCAGATAAAGAGAGATGAAGCCAAAATGTCCTCAGGCGGGCGTTTAAACAGTGACCATCTGGAAACGAATGTGCAAATGTGCTTTACGCAATTGGTGTATGGATGGATTGTGGTAAGAGTTGTACGAGCCCCTAATAAAACGGTTTTTTAAAAAGATATGAAATAGAGATAAATAAGAAAAAAAGAAACTAATAAAAATATTAATACTAAAAAAAAATCAAACTTCGGGGAGGAGATGAGCCAGTCAGGGTGCCATGTAGCAACGATGAAACATACAACTTTCCTCTAGTTCCTAAATGCTTCCTCCCCCCACTATCATGATCCCAATTCTACCTTACAAATCTGACTAGACTAGAGGATGGACACTGGTACAGATAGGAACTGGAAACACAGGGAATCCAGAGAGGATGATCCCTACAGGGCCAGTCATGTGAGTGGCGATACTGGGAGGGTGGGTTGGGAAGGGGGAACCGATGACAAGGATCTACATGTGACCTCCTCCCTGGGGGGCGGACAACAGAAAAGTGGGTGACGGGTGACGTCGGACAGGGCAAGAAATGACAAAGTAATAATTTATAAATTATCAAGGGTTCATGAGGAAGTGGGTAGTGGGAAGGGAGGGGAAACCATGAGGAGCGGATGCCAGGGGCTTAGGTGGAGAGCAAATGTTTTGAGAATGATCAGGGCAATGAATGCGCAAATGTGCTTTACACAATTGATGTATGTGTGGATTGGGATAAGAGTTGTATGAAAAATAAATAAATAAAATTTTAAAAGAAAAGTTGTATGAGCCCCTAATAATTTTTTTAAAAAAGAACTAAAAAGTGACCATCCAGCGCCACTCAACGGGGGAATCAACGTGCACATGGGTCATGCTTGCACTCTGCCCAGAAAGCCACCAACCTGCCTTCT